TCAAGGGCACATGCCCGGGTTGTGGGCTCGATCCCCAGTAGAGGGTGTGCAGGGGGCAGCCGATCCATGATTCTCTCTCATCATTGATGTTTCTATCTCTCTTTCCCCCTTCCTTTCTCTCTGAAATCAATAAAAATATATTAACAAACAAACACATGTTTTTATTGATTTAAGAGAGAGGAAAGGAGACGGAGAGAGAGAAACATCAGTGATAGAATCATTGATTGGCTGCCTCCTGCACACCCTTGACCCCACAACCCAGGCATGTGCCCTTGACTGGAATCGAACCCAGGACCTTTCAGACTGATGCTCTATCCACTGAGCCAAACCAGATAGAGCAATAAAACTATATTTTAAAAAATAACAATAAAATCAGTAAGCATATCCTCTGGTGAGTATTAAAAAAACAACATAGCCCTAGCCAGTTTGGCTCAGTGGATGGAGCGTCGGCCTGCGGACTCAAGGGTCCCAGGTTCGATTCCGGTCAAGGGCATGTACCTTGGTTGCGGGCACATCCCAGTAGGGGGTGTGCAGGAGGCAGCTGATCAGTGTTTCTCTCTCATCGATGTTTCTGACTCTCTAACCCTCGCCCTTCCTCTCTGTGAAGAATCAATAAAATATATTAAAAAAGTAAAAAATACATAAAACTATAGCAACTTCTCCCTTCCTCTCTGAAATCAATAAAGAAATATATATAAAATAAATAAATAAAATAAAATGTGTAAAAAGAAGAAAGAAAGGAATGTGTTCTGTCTCTGTGCTGGAGGTCAGGGTGTTGGCAGGGCCTCGTCTCCGAAGGGTCCCAGACAGAAACCTGTCCTGGCTCCTGGCGGGTCCAGGTGCTCCTGGCTGTTTCCCTCCAATCTGGGCCTCTTTCTCTTCTCCCTACGCCTTCCTCTTATCAGGACGCGGTCATTAGCCGTCAGGGCCACCCAGGAAATTCCCCATGAGCTCATCTCAAGATCTTCACCTCCATCTGCAAATGCTCTTTCCCCAAAGAAGGTCCCATCCACAGGTTCTGGGGATTAGGGTGTGGAAGCACCTTTTGGGGGTGCGGGCACCGTTCAATTACTACGGCCTCCTTCAGGGGGACCTGCTCAGCCGTGGGTGACTCGATGGCCAGGACACCTGTCCACCGATTGGTGGCGATTGGCCATCTGGCTGCCCAGGGCGTTTTCTCCTGCCCTGGTGGGTCCTTGGCCTCTGGATCTCTGATGATCCAGGAGGCCACGCTGGGTGCTGGCCGGGGCCGGCTGTTGTGCAAACCGGGACACAAGGCCAGCAGCCATGACCCCGGATTCCCTGGAAGCCCTGAGGCAGGGTCATGGCAGGCGTCCAGATCCCACCGTCCCTCACGCCCGGAGCACAGAGAGCTGGCCTCCTGATGGCTGGGGGTTCCAGGATGCGCTGGTACCCATGCCCGGGCGCCTCCCAGGGGTGCCGCTGAGAACCATGGGCACCTGCCCTCTTGCTGCTCAGTGGCCTCTGTGTGAGGGGCCACCGCTCACTCTGGGGCTCCAGCTGTACCAGGAGGAAGGGGGTGTGAGGGTCCCCCACATCTGTGGTCACGGCTGAGGGGCCCCTTTCCCCGTGTGGGGACCTTGGACCCCAGCCTGGTCATGTCCCGGGACTCTCATGTGGACGGTGGCAGGGAGCCACGGGCAACCTGGGTGTGGGGGGCAGGGCTCCCTGGCCACACAGGTGGGGGTTGGAGTGCCGGTGCCCCATCCTGCGGAGTCACAGCTGCCCGTCTGAATTCAGTGCCCGCAGCGCCCCAGGGCTGGGACCCCACCAGGCAAAGTGGGCCGCGGCCCAACACGCTGCCCGGGATTCCCACAAAGAGCTTTCTGCCTGGGCTGCGTGGACAGAACTCAGAGTTTAAGCGTCTGATGTGAACACCGGTGTGCAGACCCCTGGGCCAGGTTCACGCTTTATTTTTACCTAGCAATTCTGAAGACCTTGCTTTCTGGAAAAATAAAATAAAATATATAGCCCTAACCGGTTTGGCTCAGTGGATAGAGCATCAGCCTGCGGACTCAGGGGTCCCAGGTTCGACTCCGGTCGGGGGCATGTACCTCGGTTGCGGGCACATCCCCAGTGGGGGGTGTGCAGGAGGCAGCTGATC